CATGCCGTAAATTCACACCGAGCACCGGAGAGGAAGGACGGGAGAAGGAAACCGATGGGGGGGCGCGGAGGGGGGCAAGGAGGAGTACGAGGAGCAAGAGGACCAAGAGGAGGACGAGGAGGAGGAGGAGGAGGAAGAGCGAGCGGGAGCTATGACAGGCAAGCCATGTAACAATTAACAGCCATCATGTTAGCTGTTCTTTAAAGCCATTTGAAATCATATGATTAGATCCATTGATCAAACTCGAAAATCATTTTTTCCACCATGAGTGAAACTCGGAGAGCGACAGCTCCAACATAACGCCATGCGGTAAACTCATACCGAGCATGTGTGCCATGTCTTAAACTGTAAACCCACACCGAACACTGAGGGGAAGGAAGGGAGGAGGAAAACGAGGGGGGCGCGGAGAGGGGGGGTAAGGGGCAAGGAGTAAGGGGGAGTACGAGGAGCAGGAAGAGGAGGAGAAGGATGTGGACGAGGATGAGGGGGGGAGGATGATGGTGATGATGAAGAGGAGGAGGAATAACGAGAAGGGGAGGGAGAGTGTGGGAGCTAGAAAGCTAGGAACTATGTACGGCATATGCACGCGTGTAGACTGTATTACATACCATACGCATGTGTAACACCTATTACAAACCTTAAGATACCTTAAAGGCCTCTGGCCGTGCACTACAATATGCGTTCTGTGTCCGGCCTCTTGCAGACCTTCCTTGCCGTGCACTATGTGTTACGTGTCGGGCCCTTACACATGGTCATTGGCGTGCACTGCATGCGTCTTGTCCGGCCTCTTGAAAACGTCGCTGCCGTGCAGTATGCGTTACTTGTCCGGCCTCTGTACAAAGTCGCTACCGTGCATTAGCCGGCCACTAGCCGGCCACTAAGGTAGCGCGACTGCCGTGCACTAGCCGGCCTCTATGCGGCCCTTGTGTCGGCCTCAAGACCACCTGAGCCCATGTTTGAAAAGATGGGCCGGCCACTATATTAGAGGACACATTATGATTTGAAACCGTCCGATTTCATAATTGAAACCATGGGCCGGCCACTATTAAAGGACACATCACGGTTTGAAACCACGGGCCCGCCACTATTAGATGACACCCCATGACTTCTTCGGACTCCTTGGGAACCTCCTCGGGGATCTCCTCGGACTCCTCGGGATCATCCTCTGACTCCTCGGAAACCTTCTCGGGGGGATGGGGCGCGCCTTATCCGGCGCTTATTTTTTGGTTGTTCCGTGCCTTGTGCGTGCCTTGTCCGGCCTCTGCAGGGCAGCGGTGCCGTGCCTCGTGCGTGCCGTGTCCGGCCTCTGCAGAGCAGGCCCCTGGACCATCCAACACCTCGTTGGCTTTAAGCCCTATGGTGTTCTATCGCACCAACATACCTACGTGTTTGCGTGTTTGCCGTGCTTATCCAAGCACTCAGGCCCTCAAGAAGTCTGAGGTCTGAGGGTGGAACTCTGGATCTGAAGGTAGAGGAGAGGCACGCTGGCGGGCGCCTCGCCTGGGCCCTTCCCCTCCGACCCCTCCCCGCTCCTGATCCTCTAACGCCCTTTTCCCTGTTTCCTACTCCGCCTTTCCGCCCCTCCTTCTTAGGCTCTTAGGCCCACCTCCCTGCCGCCCTCCTCGGCATCCCTCCTGACCTCCTGACCCCACTCCCTCCTGGCACCCCTCCCCCCTCATTCCCTCCCCTCTCCCCCTCGCCACTTCCTGCCCTTCCACGGGGGCTGGGGCCTGGTCGACGTGGCCGTTCGCGCCCGCGGGTCGCCCAGGCCAGGCCGCCAGATGAGGGAATGAACACCCCATGGTCCCGAGGCCATCCCCCAAACTCGCCCTCGCCGACCTCGAGTTTTGCGGATGGTAGCCCTCGTCGACCTCGATTTTTCGATTTTCAATCATCGAGTTTGCCGGATGCTTAGAGGCCGGCCTCGTGCGAGTGTTTCGAGGATCGTGACAGGG